TGGGGCCCTGGGCGGCTGCCTAGGCTCTGCTCCTCCTGTCTTGGACAGCCCAGGCGCGCTGGGCGCTGGCCTTGCTATCCTGGACAGCCCAGGTGCGCTGGGCAGCAGCCTAGCTGCTGTTTCCGCTGTCCCAGATAGCTTCAGATCTGCTGCGCTGGGCAGCTTTGGAACGCTGGGCAGCAGCATTTTTCCATCAAGGGGCGCTAAAAATCAGTCCAAGATTCATCAGGGAGAGCTAAGCAGTGGCCTGGGAGCACGGGCTGATCCGATTCCCACTCGAGGCACTGATTTGGGCGCCTTAGGTTCTGATTTTTGGGCCGAAAATTCTGCTTTGCGCAATTTTGAAGGGCCAGACACCCTTCTAGCTACTGGGTAACTTTGTTTTGACAAGCAACAGCAGTCAGGCACATTTCTAGGCGTTGGGCTAGACATTGCAAGTAGTAAGGAACCCTTGGGTGCTGCTCTTGATGATCAAGCCCTTCTCCAGGTGCTGGGCGCCTTGGGTGAGCCTGGGGCTGCCTCGGGAGAACCTACTTGTGATGACAAAAATAATGTTATTCCAAACATTAAAATATCTCACATAATTACCTGGAGAGAGAGAGAAGTAGGCTGCTTGCGCGAGAGCAAAGACAGAGTTGGAGAACTGCTCGTGAGAGAGCTACACTTTTTGAGACCTAGCTTTTGGCGACCCATGAGGGAGTCTTTAAGCTTGAGGTATAAGCTTCCTGTTTGAGAACAGTGCAGAGGCCAAGTTTTTTGGCGACCCGTGAGAGAGCCGCTAAACTGGCGATAGACTGCCTGTTTGAGAACAGTGCAGAGGCCAAATTTTTTTTTGGCGACCCGTGAGAGAGCCGCTAAGCTGGAGATGGGCTGTTTGATTGAGAGCAGTGCAGAGGCCAAGTTTTTTGGCGACCCGTGAGAGAGCCGCTAAACTAGAGATAGGCTGCCTGTTTGAGAACAGTGTAGAGGCTAAGTTTTTTTTTGGCGATCCCAAAGAGAGCCGCTAAACTAGAGATAGGCTGCCTGTTTGAGAACAGTGCAGAGGCCAAATTTTTTTTTTGGCAACCCGTGAAAGAGCCGCTAAGCTGGAGATAGGCTGCTTGATTGAGAACAGGGCAGAGGCCAAGTTTTTTGGCGACCTGTGAGAGAGCCGCTAAACTAGAGATAGACTGCCTGTTTGAGAACAGTACAGAGGCCAAGTTTTTTGGTGACCCGTGAGATAGCCGCTAAACTGGAGATAGGCTGTCTGTTTGAGAACAGTGCAGAGGCTAAGTTTTTTTTGGCGATCCCAGAGAGAGCCGCTAAACTGGAGATAGGCTGCCTGTTTGAGAACAGTGCAGAGGCCAAGTTTTTTGGCGACCCGTGAGAGAGCCGCTAAACTGGAGATAGGCTGCCTGTTTGAGAACAGTGCAGAGGCCAAGTTTTTTGGCGACCCGTGAGAGAGCCGCTAAGCTGGAGATAGGCTGCCTGTTTGAGAACAGTGCAGAGGCAGGTCAAGTTTCTGGTGATCTGTGAGATGATTCACCTTGCCTAAACTTGTTGATTTCCTCAGCATTCATATATCTTTAAGCTTTTGTGAATAGTTCTGGCATGCTCTTTGGTGGTTGCTTTATTACTGAAAAAAGGAATCTGGATGAGCAGAGGCCTCCCAGGAAGGCAGTCATGGCGACTTTGTCATTGGGTTCCTCGATTTGGAGGACTTCCTCGTTAAAACGAGTGAGGTAACTCCTTAGACTCTCATTACGATCCTGTTTTATGCTGAGCAGATGGATGACAGGCTGCTGCTGGCGGCATCCACCAATGAATTGTGTCACAAAGGATCTGCTCAGTTCGGCGAAGGAGGCTATGGAGGCTGGGGTGAGTTTGACGAACCATTGTCGCGCTGATCCCTTCAAGGTAATTGGGAATGTCTTACACATAATTTCGTCGGGGACGCTGTGTAGTTGCATCATGGTCTTAAAAGTTTCGAGATGATCAAGTGGGTCCTTCGTACCGTCAAAGGTTTCAACGGATAACATTTTAAACTTCTTGGGAAGTGGGTAGTTCGTCACGTTAGGTACGAAGGGTGTGTTGGTTCGACTTACGAGGCAGTCCACTGTCTCGGGTCTCTGTGCTTTCATAGTGTTGAAAATGTCGTCTAGTTGATTTTGTACCTCTTGTATTTTTTCGATTCAGTGGTTGGGAGCTCCTTTGGAATTATCTTGGAAATGGCTTCCATGCTCCCTGCTCTGGTTCTCACCCTTGTCTTCTTGGAAAAGAAAGCCCGCACCATGAGAAAAGGGAGCTGGAAGAGGAGGTGGAGGTCCCCCGTGGGGAGCTCCCCTATGAAGGGCACCCAAGGGAACTCCAAAGGGGGCGCCCAANTCCTCTTGGAAAAGAAAGCCCCCACCATGAGAAAAGGGAGCTGGAAGAGGAGGTGGAGGTCCCCCGTGGGGAGCTCCCCTATGAAGGGCACCCAAGGGAACTCCAAAGGGGGCGCCCAAATAGGGAGCAACAAGTTGTGGAGCTGCTTGATGTGCAGGGCGTGGAGCTGCTTGATGTGCAGGGCGCGGAGCAACTTGATGTGCAGGGGGTGGAGCTCTTTGATGTGCAGGGCGTGGAGCTCCTTGGGGTGCTCCATGTTGTGCACCTCCGTCAACAAGTTGTGGAGCTGCTTGATGTGCAAGGTGTGGAGCTCTTTTATGTCCAGGACGTGGAGCTCCTTGGGGTGCTCCATGTTGTGCACCTCCATGGGGCCCTCCATGTTGTGCATCTCCGTGTTGTGCTCCTCCTTGGGGTCCTCCATATTGTGCACCTCCATCAACAAGTTGTGGAGCTGCTTGATGTGCACGGTGTGGAGCTCTTTTATGTCCAGAACGTGGAGCTCCTTGGGGTGCTCCATGTTGCGCACCTCCATGGGGCCCTCCATGTTGTGCATCTCCATGTTGTGCTCCTCATTGTCTAGCAAGTATGAGTTGCAGTAACTGTTGGTTTTGAGCAACCAGTTATTGCATGGTCTCCAACATTTGCTGGGGATTCGGAGCTAGAGTATCCGGGATAGAGTTGGTAGGCGGAGGAGCAATCTCTTCCTCTCATGGAGGATTGTCTTCACGTTGGTTCATGGATCGGGTAGTGATCGCCATTAGTTCAATGGATGTAATGTTCAGGAGTNGGAGCAATCTCTTCCTCTCGTGGAGGATTGTCTTCACGTTGGTTCATGGATCGGGTAGTGATCGCCATTAGTTCAATGGATGTAATGTTCAGGAGTGAGAATTTTGTCGTTTTCCACAGACGGTGCCAAACTGATGATGCACAAAAATGGTTTTGCACACCACCTATCAAGTGTAGATAATAAATGCAATGAAATCAATGAAAAAATTAAAGAAGACACAATTTATAGTGGTTCGGTCAATTCGACCTACGTCCACTCTTCAATGGCTTCAGTTGCTGGGTATTTTATTGATTCAAAGGTATGGAGAATAGAGATATAAGCTTTGAGAGAGAAAATGGAGAATCGAAGAAATAGTAATCTCCGGTAGTCGGTTCGTCCTCTGTAAGTCTTGGTGGGGCGTGATATTCATCTCCCTCTTCTACCAGATTGGAGCTATTTTATAGCAGCTAAGAGATCATTCTTGTGGAGATCATGACTTATCCTCAAGGCTTCTTTATCGCAGCTAAGAGATTATTCTGGTGAAGATCACGACTTATCCTCAACGGAAGGAGGAGGTTGGGGAGCTCTTCATGAAACGTGGTCAAAGATTGGACCGTTTTTTTCTGTGGTGCAGATAAGCTTCCCTTGCTCTCCTCTTGGTAACGTGCTAAGCAAAAAGTCTAACCGGTCTTGGACTGTCTTGGACTTGGTGGAATCAAAATGAGGTTGGGCTCCTCAACTGGAATTGAACTTTAACACATGAATTGGACTATTTGGACTTAATCCATCAAGCTCGATTAGTTTTTTAAACAAAACGAGTTTGAAAAAATTTTTAAGCTCATTTGACTCGGTATGTTTTCTAAAAAATTTGAATTTGAACAATTTTTTAGACCGTTTGAACTTAGTTTGTTTTCTAAATTAGCAAAACTTAGGTAATTTAATTCAGGTTGACTCATTTTTTAAACGAGTCAAATTTGAACACTTATTTAAGCTCATTTAAAAAAACGAGTTCAACAAGCTCGATAGGTTCAGTTCGATTATTAGCCCTGAATAGATTCATTAGACCTATCAAATTTGTGGATCGATATAAATCCGATTAAATATGATGTAAAGAGGCTACACGCAATTTCATCAAATGAAACAAACCTAATTATACACGAACTTAATACGAAATAAACCTAATTATACATGAATATAAATAAACCAGACATGAATTAAGTTAATTTTCACGAACACAACTTATGTCATCCCAACCTTACACTCAAATTTTTACTCAAAAATGTATACTCAAATTTAAAGACCGATAAATTTAAATATAAAAAAGTGTTGAATATGAACATTACATCTTTAAATAAAAGTGGACTCTGNTGAATTCAAACATTGCTGGGTTCGTAAATCTACTCGAAGTCGCAAAGAATTCAGATCCACAGCCCTCCATTGTTTGGGCTTCATCGAGCTCTGTCTATGGTCTAAACACCAAGGTCCCATTCTCTGAATCAGACAGAACAGACCAACCAGCAAGTCTCTACGCTGCGACGAAGAAAGCCGGTGAAGAAATAGCTCACACTTATAATCACATCTATGGCCTCTCTCTCACTGCCCTTCGGTTCTTCACAGTGTACGGACCTTGGGGAAGACCAGACATGGCGTATTTCTTCTTCACCAAGGACATACTTCAGAACAAACCCATAAATATTTATCAAACACAGGACGATAAAGAGGTGGCGCGTGACTTCACGTACATTGACGACGTCGTTAAAGGGTGTCTCGGAGCTATTGACACGGCGGAGAAGAGCACCGGCAGTGGTGGCCGGAAAAAAGCTCCGGCGCAACTGAGAGTGTACAATTTGGGGAACACTTCGCCGGTGTCGGTGGGGAAGCTAGTGGGTATACTGGAAAACTTACTGAGTGTGAAGGCGAAGAAGCATGTGATTAGGATGCCACGAAACGGCGACGTTCCGTTCACTCATGCAAACGTGAGCCAGGCGTACAGGGACTTCGGGTACAAGCCCACCACCGACTTGGCTACAGGGTTGAGAAAGTTTGTCAGATGGTACGTTAGTTATTATGGTATTCAATCAAGGGTAAAATTGGAAATTCACAATGGCAAGCCCGCTGATTCTGCATAATAATCATCATCACATGAGTATTTTTATTTTTAATTTTACTTTTTTGGGTTTTTCCCACTTAAATTCTGTTTTTAATTTTTTTTTTTAATTATTGTTGATGTATTAAGATAAAATTAATATTCGTATTGTATACAAAAATCATAAAATGGAAAGGTAGAGAGAGAGAGAGAGAAGTGTAGATCTGTGAAGTGGGTTTTAATAATGTGTTATTGGGTGCTAGGTAAAAGGGTTGCAATCTGTACAAAAAAGGGTGCAGATCNCAACCTTCTTTCTCTCTCATCTTTTCTTTATAACCCAGCTATCTACACTCTTCCCACCTCAGGGCCTCCCTCAAATCACAGCACTTCCCTCTCTTCAACCCCTCTCTCTATACTTTCCCCCCTCTAAAACTTTTTTGAGGGTACAATTACGAGATACAAAACAACAACAATGGCTTCTCCACCGGACACAAGCAAAACCACCAAGCTAGAACGGTACAACAGCTACGTAAGAAGAGTGAACAGCACAAAGCTCTTAGCAGCTTCTTCAAAGCTTCTCTTCCGAGCCACTCTCTTAATAGCTCTGATTTTGATCTTCTTATTTACAATAAACTACCCCCCATTTTCAGATAATCACAATTCCCACCACCACAACCTCCACAAAACCCACAATTTCCTTTCCTCCGCCTTCTATGGCAGCGGCGCAACCTGGGAAAAACAAGTCCGCCGCTCCTCCACCCCTCGCCGTCCCAACGGATTTTCCGTCCTAGTTACCGGCGCTGCCGGATTCGTCGGAACCCATTGTTCTCTCGCCTTAAAAAAACGCGGCGACGGCGTTCTCGGCCTCGATAACTTCAACTCCTACTACGACCCTTCTCTGAAACGTGCCCGCCAAAATCTTCTGCAAAAACATGAGGTTTTCATTGTAGAAGGAGATCTAAACGACGCCGAATTGCTCACGAAACTGTTCGATGTTGTCCCTTTTACCCACATTCTTCACTTAGCTGCACAAGCTGGTGTTCGTTACGCAATTCAAAACCCACAATCGTATGTGAATTCAAACATTGCTGGGTTCGTAAATCTACTCGAAGTCGCAAAGAATTCAGATCCACAGCCCTCCATTGTTTGGGCTTCATCGAGCTCTGTCTATGGTCTAAACACCAAGGTCCCATTCTCTGAATCAGACAGAACAGACCAACCAGCAAGTCTCTACGCTGCGACGAAGAAAGCCGGTGAAGAAATAGCTCACACTTATAATCACATCTATGGCCTCTCTCTCACTGCCCTTCGGTTCTTCACAGTGTACGGACCATGGGGAAGACCAGACATGGCGTATTTCTTCTTCACCAAGGACATACTTCAGAACAAACCCATAAATATTTATCAAACACAGGACGATAAAGAGGTGGCGCGTGACTTCACGTACATTGACGACGTCGTTAAAGGGTGTCTCGGAGCTATTGACACGGCGGAGAAGAGCACCGGCAGTGGTGGCCGGAAAAAAGCTCCGGCGCAACTGAGAGTGTACAATTTGGGGAACACTTCGCCGGTGTCGGTGGGGAAGCTAGTGGGTATACTGGAAAACTTGCTGAGTGTGAAGGCGAAGAAGCATGTGATTAGGATGCCACGAAACGGCGACGTTCCGTTCACTCATGCAAACGTGAGCCAGGCGTACAGGGACTTCGGGTACAAGCCCACCACCGACTTGGCTACAGGGTTGAGAAAGTTTGTCAGATGGTACGTTAGTTATTATGGTATTCAATCAAGGGTAAAATTGGAAATTCACAATGGCAAGCCCGCTGATTCTGCATAATAATCATCATCACATGAGTATTTTTATTTTTAATTTTACTTTTTTGGGTTTTTCCCACTTAAATTCTGTTTTTAATTTTTTTTTTTAATTATTGTTGATGTATTAAGATAAAATTAATATTCGTATTGTATACAAAAATCATAAAATGGAAAGGTAGAGAGAGAGAGAGAGAAGTGTAGATCTGTGAAGTGGGTTTTAATAATGTGTTATTGGGTGCTAGGTAAAAGGGTTGCAATCTGTACAAAAAAGGGTGCAGATCAACCGTTGGATTTGAATCAAAGATTTCTATTTTATGAGACAGAATGATTACTTCAAGATTCTTCTTATTGTGGCCTTTATTTGTTTATTATTCACACTTCCATGGCTTATATTGAATTCTATAATTTTTGGGGGGGTCCTTATGTGATTATAAGTTTTCTTTTTATAGCTTTTTCATTGCAAGTGGAACATATTGGATCTTCATTGTGCTTTCAAAGATGCTTTCCATGATTGACGAGAGGCTAGGACTGTCTGCAAATGATTACTGTGTTATCAATTAGGGAAAGGCTACGGTCCGTTGTAGGTATCGTACCACTTGCGTGATTGATAGGAGAAGTTGTAAAACTTATAATTTTCAAATATTAGATTATAATTTTTAAAAATTACTAATTTATAATTCATAAAAAAAAAATTATAATTATTTAAAAAAAATAATAATACGATAATGGCNTTGTCAGATGGTACGTTAGTTATTATGGTATTCAATCAAGGGTAAAATTGGAAATTCACAATGGCAAGCCCGCTGATTCTGCATAATAATCATCATCACATGAGTATTTTTATTTTTAATTTTACTTTTTTGGGTTTTTCCCACTTAAATTCTGTTTTTAATTTTTTTTTCTAATTATTGTTGATGTATTAAGATAAAATTAATATTCGTATTGTATACAAAAATCATAAAATGAGGTAGAGAGAGAGAGAGAGAGAGAGAAGTGTAGATCTGTGAAGTGGGTTTTAATAACGTGTTATTGGGTGCTAGGTAAAAGGGTTGCAATCTGTACAAAAAAGGGTGCAGATCAACCGTTGGATTTGAATCAAAGATTTCTATTTTATGAGACAGAATGATTACTTCAAGATTCTTCTTATTGTGGCCTTTATTTGTTTATTATTCACACTTCCATGGCTTATATTGAATTCTATAATTTTTGGGGGGGTCCTTATGTGATTATAAGTTTTCTTTTTATAGCTTTTTCATTGCAAGTGGAACAGATTGGATCTTCATTGTGCTTTCAAAGATGCTTTCCATGATTGACGAGAGGCTAGGACTGTCTGCAAATGATTACTGTGTTATCAATTAGGGAAAGGCTACGGTCCGTTGTAGGTATCGTACCACTTGCGTGATTGATAGGAGAAGTTGTAAAACTTATAATTTTCAAATATTAGATTATAATTTTTAAAAATTACTAATTTATAATTCATAAAAAAAAAATTATAATTATTTAAAAAAAATAATAATACGATAATGGCCCGAAGAAATTGAAAAGAATAATAATAGTGAACATAACATGTGGACAGGAAAGAGCACCGACTAGGAGTTGATTCTTTTATAGCATATGGTTTTAATTATGGAGTGTAATGTCTTTGTCAAAGGCAGATCATAATCATGTCTTCTTATACTCACTATGTCCATTTTTTAGACTGCCTTAATCTACAATCATACTCATACATACCTCTGTCAATCATATCCTAGGATGCATACTATACTCTGTTGTAAATATTGGCCTGGTAAACCATCACAACTATGGGTCGACCCGACCCACTTCCGGACAATATGGGGTCACCCGACAAGCAGCTTGTGGGTCTCACTATACTCTCCAGGCTGAGGCTGTGTTGGAAGTCGGGCCAGGTAACAGCCTTTTCCGTCGATCTGGCTATTCTTCAATTTTGACGATAAACTTACGTACATGCAATACAACTAAGTTTGGTAACCGTTTGTCGGTGTAATTGCAATAAATTGAGAAACAACAAACAAAATAGGGTTAATTACAAATTATACTTCGAAAGATTGTTTGAAATTCAATTTGTATTCTTTAAAGATAAAAAATTTTAATTTACACTCTCGAAAATAGAAATTTGTATCAATGTATACCTGAAATTAACAATAGTCAGTTTGTCGTCTAAAATTAAATGGATAAATTATATCTAGATCTTTTCATGTTTGTCATTTAATCATTTAAACCCTCTCACATTTAGAATATTATTTTTGCACCGTTTGACTTTTGTGCATATGTAACACATTATCCATTATCGTTTAATATAATTGTTAAAAAAAATATAATTTTATCTTAATAAAAAATTATAATCTCACACTATCTTTTATTTTGTCAATTTGTTATACTCTAAAATTTAAAATCAAACTTACCACTCAANTATATATATATATATATCAGTTAAAAAAATTTATTTGAATGTCCGATTAAGGAAATATTTTTAGTCATATTTAGATTCTCAAAAGTTGTAGATGTAATATATCAAATATAAGGGGATTAAGTGTAATTTATTCATTTAGTTTTAGACAGCAAACAAATGACTGTTTGTTTGAAGTGCACATTGATACAAATTTTTATCTTTGAGACTATAAATTGAGATTTTTTATCTTTGAGGGTGCAATTTGAGATTCCAACGATCTTTCGGAGTGCAGTTTGAAATTAACCTAACAAAATAATAAAACTTGATACGAAACAATTCAGGCTGAGGTGCAGTGCAGATATCTCGCTCTCTTTAAGGAGATTTAAGCCTTCTGCAGATGGTAAAGCCTAAATCCAATGCGGACCTTTTCATTTGACTTATATCCTCTATGATACAATAACCCAACAGTTTCGTCGTATAACACTAATGAACTCTGCACAAGTAGTTAAGTCTAAAACTCTACGANACAATAACTCAACAGTTTCGTCGTATAACACTAATGAACTCTGCACAAGTAGTTAAGTCTAAAACTCTACGATAGAAGCATCCTTCTTTGGTCTGAATTCTCAAATGTATATAATATGTTATGATATGTTGTAATGTGTCTAATGATGTTTTATTAGCGTCCAAATGTCCAACTTAGAGGTACTATTTATAGGTTTTGAAAAACTTTTAGAGTTCATTTATCTAAGTCATGCATGTATACACAAAGTACATGTATGTAAGTGTACATGCATCTAATAAAATTAATTCATGCATGT